TCAGGTCCCCAAGTCTTGGAGAAAAGCCTCTCAGGTCCCCAAGTCTCAGAGAAAAGCCTCTCAGGTCCCCAAGTCTCGGAGAACCACAGGAGATCCACGACTCGGAGGACGCCACACGTCCGGTCCTGCGCCTGCTGCGGCCCACCTGGTAGTGGTTTTGAGCTTTGGAAGGGGGTGTTTTCAGGGGGATGTGAAGGTTGTGTTTTTGGGGAATCAAGATGAATCAAGCATCCTGGAGGTCTTGTTTTGGGTCCGAATTCAATGAGGGCACTTTGCCCCAAGATCCACTCACCGAAGCATCCCTCCCCTTTTGTCCCACCAGTAGCTTTTCCCACTGCTTCATTAATATTGGCCGTATTGCTTCATGGGGTGGGTTTACTGTGCTTCTTGGGATCCAGCTATTTTAAAATGCATGAAGAGCTCTGGGCTCTTCCCGAGCTACTGCCCCATGGATCCACTGCTCAGAGCTCCATCCTCGCTCAGAGGAACCCTGAAGGATCCCTCGATCTCAGGCTACCCGTCGTGGATCCGTCGCCCTGCGACGTTGCTTTTTGGGAATCCAGGGGTTTGGGCCCAAACCGTTCGGTCTTCGGCTTGGTGGTCGAACTGGAATCACTGGTGATATGTCTACTATACCAGCACCCTCTCCAAGGGGTCACCAATGGAAGCCCACACACTACTGAGAGATCTCCATTGGACACCCATTGGATGCTCCTGATATATGGTTATTTGCCTAGATCCACTGGGTATGGGTTGCATCAGCCCAGGTACCGCAGCCGAAGAGACCAGGCTGCGCTGGGCCGCTGGCAGGGGGACCCTCACGGTTGATCAGCTGAGTCCCTGGGAGACCTCGGCAACTGGTATCAGTGGGAAAACCGGTGGCTACAGTGTGGGCACATGTCGTCTCCCATCCTTTGACCCACCCTCAGTGAAGCCCCAAATCTGGGCACCTGGGCATGTTCGGGCACCTTGCCCAGACCATCCATGGGACTGGACTATATACACGCCGACCCTCCTGGCACCACCCACATGAATGGTCGGATGCTCTGAGAGGTCGGGTGGCTCTGAAGAGCGGCACGAGCTCGGTGTCCCGTGTCCGGTCCGGATTTCCGTGTCCTCTTCGTGGATCGAGCTCGGTGGCAGATCTGGGAACTCTTGGATGACCAAAACTCCAGCACAGCTGCTTGGTGCATCTCGCAGTTTCTCAAGACGTGCCTGGGCCGCCAGCCACCCACGTGGGTGAGGGGATGGTTCAGGTCGGTGGGTGCGACCCTGTGGATGAACGGCGCGACCGATGAGACCGGGGATTTGGTACCCAAAACATGGGCCACCCGTCGTGCGTCGTCTGTCTTGGAAGGTGGGTCAGGTATACGACTTAAGTGTTTGTTGCTTTGTCCATGTTGGGTGCACATCACTCAACTCTTCTGGATCACTCATGAGACATGTGGACGCCAAGTGTCACCCAGTGTCGGTGTCTTGAATGGATGGTCTGGGATCACGACTGGGACTGGCACTCCATGGGACGTCGGTAGATCATTGGAGTGGTGTCATTGGTCCATGTGGGTGAATATGCCATCCATGGAGTGTTTAGGAGCGTGCGCGAGCTTGCAGTGTTTAATGAGGACCGTGCCCACCGGGTTCAGGGTGGTTTTAACACGATGGCAAGGCTGGTGATCGTGAACTTTGTCGTGACCAACCTGCAAACCACGGAGGACAGCCAGACGCGGACAGATCCACGTGATGTTGAAGAAGGGGAGAGTGGAGGAAATCTCTCCAGCAGAGTGTTTTGGGTTCTGTTGGGCTTTGCATGGCTTTTTGCTCTTGGGATTGATTTCCAGGTTGGGCCTTTAATATATACCCTACGCAGCCAAACCCTATAAATTTGTAGGGTCTCAATCGGAACCTCGGGTATTCTTGTGAAATCAAAAATACCTCAGGTTTGTTCTTAAAACCTCGAGTCTTGCTTTTCTAACCGTGCTAAACCCATACTAAACCCGTAATAAACCCATATTTAACCCGTACATACCCGTACTAAACCCGTATTTTAATATTGGTTTGGAAAACCTGGGGTTTCCTTCAGAAACTCTAGGTTTTTCCATCGACCCTACAAATTTATAGGGTTTGGGTGCGTAGGGATATGGGAACCAGGTTCGGCACGAAGCACACAGAATACTCAGAATAGGATGGACGACTTGAGGTTCCGAACGTCCGTCATGAAATCCGCCCAGAATTTCAGTGGGTTCCGTTTCGGCTGATTTTTGCAAGTGGAGTGGGCACAAAAGACGAGGACCTGCTACCTGCGTTTTGGCACCACAGCTCCTAATATTGACTCAGATGTAGCAGAAAGATGAAGACCTGACGTTTAGAGGAAAACCTTCAGGTTTTCGGACCAGCCTGTTGCAGCTTGCTAGGGCCTCCTTCTGTCAATTTGTGAGTAGAGGTAGCTTTTGCTATTTCGCTGCTAGGAGCAAGAAGCTACTAGTAGCTCCTGGCGATACTACTAGTAACAAGAAGCTACTAGGAACAAAGGGCATCGCTAGGGTCTCTCCTATTGCCTGTAACAGTGAGGTTTCACAAGCAAATCACTAGTTTTGGAACTGTCGGCCTGGTACCTAACCATCATCATGCAATGGCGCCAAGTATTACCCAAACACTCCATGTATGCCATATATGCCGACATTGACCCATGTAGGCATATATGGCATACATCGGCATCGCTACGAACGGAGCGTCCACTTGTCACAGGAGCAGACGATCGATCCATTGACAGCCGCAGCAGCTTGGGCGAAGCAGCGTGAAGCAGCGGCGCCATGGGGTGTGGTTCGCGTTTTTTTTGTTTAAGCTTTGTTTTGTTGTTAAGCTCTACAAGTATACTAGTAGCTAAGGACATCGCTACGAACGGAACAAGAAGCTACTAGGAACAAGTAAAATAACAAAAACCAAGGTGTTCTTCAGTCAGGGTTTCTGTGAGGATTCACTCATATATAATATATTCACTAAGAGTTTGTCGCGTGTCACTTGATGCGCTTGCAGCACAGACTAGGCAGAGTGCAGAATTACATTTGAGCATTGAAGCATCCCCCAGAAGTAAGTGTTAATATCAAGTGTTCCCTTGTCAACAGTAACTCATCGTAACTCATTTGGACACTGAGATCCGTGGCTCGAGTCCGAGCCACGCTCGAGCTTCCGAGCCCTTTTTGTGGACCAATCGGACCTGAGAGGCGGAGTCCGATGCAGGACTGACGTGGACTGCAGGTCCCACCTGTTTTGGTCTGGGTCATCCGAGTCACGACCGCACCACCGGGTCCAGGCCCGGAGCATCCATGGGACCTAGACATATTTACATTGGGGTGGTGTCAGGGGGGGTCAATGTATAGGCTATTCCAGTCCCATGGATGGTTTGGGAGGGGACTGGAGATGATGATGTTCCGATTGATGGGCTACGAGCACGGAAGTCCAGATACTTTCACGACTGTGCCGCACATGTGCCGCACGTGGTCCCAGTCAACAGTTATGTCACGATGGATGCAATTTATTCTCACTTGGAGATGCTAACCTGATCAAATATGATTCGGCGACGTCCTTGTTTCGGACAAATGACGCCCCCACTGATTTCGCGACGTGTCGTGACATGGGTCAAAACCTGGAGCCCACAACATGTAGCTTGACCTCACGTCGGTAGGTCAACCAAAGGTATCCCGGTTTTGACAGCTGTTTTGACTTCAAAGAATTCCAGACAGATTCTGATCATTTCTGATTTGCACTCCTATGAGGAGACGAGAGATGTCGAGGAATGATGCACAGCGAATGAACCAAAATTATGTAAAATTGCGTAAATTAAACCAAGGCCCCATATTTTTAGGACATCAAGGTGAAACAGATGCTGTACATATTAATGCATCAGCTCCGACTTCACGCCTTTTTGCGCAAACATGCTGTTTTGCATGAACTTTGGGCCATGATGCTTGCAGCAAGCTTGCATGGGTATGACGGTATGATGTCTTATGATTTCTTCTTCGCCCCAGGTCATGGAGACGATCTTCGATAGCATTTTCCTCTGCGAGTTCTGCATTCGCTTGTTTTCAGCACCATCGAAACGACGCGGCTCGGAGCACCGTGCTGCTCAGCGCGGGTGACGCAGCGAAAGGACGGCGACGCAGCGAAAGGACGGCAGCACCAGGTTTTACACCAGGTAGGTGTGTAGCATGGCTTGTGCGTTTGACCATTACACACAGAGTATGAGAACATCCTGGTTCCTTGCATCCGTCGAGGCACAAAAGGCCCACTGCGGATGGCCACGATTGAAGGTGGGTATGTACCGTAGAAGCATGCGAGATTGTTTATCATGCAATGCAGCTCAAATATACTCTACAATGTCAATCGAGAAGCGAGAAGGAAAGGTGAGACGGCTAAACTATCCCACTCTCATCTCTCAGTAGCGCAGCAGATGAAACAAGAATCCAGCATCCAGTCTTCATCACACGCTCGTGTGCTCTCTCATCACTGTTCCGCACTTCCTCAGACAGGTCATGGCACCAAAACACCGGCCGGTTTGGACACACGCGAATGAACCGAAGGTCAACGACCTGGTTTCGGTCAAGCGAACCCCTTTTAGGGGTTCTGGGTGCCATGACCCACAGCCACATGACATCGCATGACCGGTGCCAGACTCTCGGCATAGGCTCTAGGATTTTGCTCATGTTCTGTGCCTGTGTGTGAAGGGGATTAGTTTGTCCAAAGTGGGTTTGGGCGTGGAGTTGTTCAATCTCCAAACACAAAAGTCAAAAATGATCCGGGATTTTCTTAGAAGAAAGCATAAGAAAGCAGTCCTCCAAGAAGTCAAACCTGTACAGTAATAGATAACACCATCGACATTTTAATATCCAAAGAGCTCTTCGACGCCCCGTATAGACCGAACCACTGCTTTCGTGTTCGGCTCGGCTCGATGCCGCCCTCCTCTCAGGATACATGGAAGACTCGTTGTACCTCAGAATCGGAGCGGGGGGGCCGGACCGAACAGTGGGGATTGGTGACCTCAAAATCCAACAAGAAAAAGGTGAACTGTTCTGTTCCAGGGAAGCTGAGGGGGTTAGGAAACATGCGCAATGTGCAGGTTGAGTTTCTTGGGTGCAATGTTTGCACCCTGCATTGAGATTGAAACCCTGAAAACAGGGTGCAGCAAGGCCTTATGAACTGCATGTTTTCTTTGAGTATTGGGCCATTGGGTAAAGATCCATGATCAAGTTTTGCATGCTCATGCTCGTGGAGTTGTCTCACCCAACAGATCCCACTGTTCTTCGATGAATATGTTTGGATGTTTCTCGACTAAATGTGTATCTTATGGGCTGGAAGTGGAGCCTCTCCTGGCTGTTGGTGGTTTCCCAAGGAATTATTTGCCGTTTCCATGTGAGTCAGAGTGTGCTTTACTTCGAGCTTCGAGCTATCCCCACTCGCCCAGGTACACTGACTGGTAGGATAACCAGTTTGGGACGACTGGCGAGGGAAAGGGTCGAGTGAGGAACAAACGAGAGAGAACTGGAAATAGGAAGAACACGAGGGATGTTGGGCTGATTGTTCCAGGGATTTGTAAATCAGCCGTATGGCATTATGCAATATTATGCACTTCTCACCAGGTTCCTTAAGGTCTATACCAGCCATCACGGGTTCAGACTATATATGCCAATACCTGCTCGAACATGCGTCAACTGCGTCAACTCTTAGAGTCTTAGGCAGTATCCCAGTCCATCATCCATGTAATGGGCACACAGGATTAAGATGGAATAAGCAACCTCCCATTACCTCCCTTATTAATATATTAATAATCAAGCCCAGCTGGAGGCCCCAATACCAAACTAATGTAGAACCTAAATTTCCACCTTGCCATCCCCCTATTAATCAAGCCCGGCTGCCCCAGCACAAAAACAACGTAGCTTACTAATGTTTACTATTATAAAATATTACAATTAAAAACACACATATATATATATTATATAAACATATATTTATGTTTATTGTGCTGTTCTTTTTTTGGCTAGTATCTAACATCTTCTGGTCTGCATGGTGAATTTGATCTTCTGATCCACCCTTTTCTCATCTTCTGATCCACCCTTTTCTCATGCCATCTCTTTGAGAGATAGCATTCTGATCCACCCTTTTCCCATGCTGATCCTCTCATTCATCAATCATTATCATCAGTTTTTCATGATTTTCTCATTTTCCTTGCTTCTCATAGTTCACTCTCATGACTCACACAGAATCCCATCAACTATCATCCATCATCAGGTCCAGGTCATCATCTCATCATCCATCATCAGGTCATCACCTTTATTGAGGGGATGTGGTCTCCAATACCTCCAATCTCAACCCTTGTTGACCTTGTTGACCTTGAAGGGGGGGCTTGATGAATCCGGTGTTGGCATTATGGCATATTTACCGACCTATTGGGGTGGAGGCACATATTCCAGACACGCAACATTTGGGTACATTTCTTTGAGACAAAAACCATCTTCTTCCAGCTGGTCCCGTCCCGTCCTGGGCACGTGCCCACGTCGCCAGAAGACGTCCCGTCCTGACGTCCTGGGGAGCCGAGGAATTGGGCCGACGTGCTTTCCGCCTGTGGCTTACCCGTTCGCCTTGCGACCTGGCACCTTGGACCTTGTTCAGCGTGGTTCAGATGTGTTCAGCAGGGGGTTCAGCAGGGGGTTCGATGTGAAGCAGGGGGTGTTCAGATGTGTTCCAATGATATCCTTCATGTTCCACCTTTGTCATGGAGTCATGCAGGATTCCGCTGGACACCTGAAAAATCGAGCGGAAGCGTGGTTTGGCCGTCTGCAGGGCCGCACTGAACCCAAAGTCCGCAGGGTGCCCTGTGGAATTCCGATCCATGCCATGGAAAATCGAATTGAATGAAGATGGCCTCCAGAGCAGGGTATAACTTTTGAAATACGGAGGGATGATTTCTGTACCACTTGGCATAGAGGATCCAACTTGCAGGGTCTTGTTTGGGGGTGCATGAGTGGGTGCATGTATACTTAAGTATTTGTCCTATAGGTGGATGTGGTGTCACCGGTCACCGGCTTTCGGCTGTCAGCGCCATGTAGGTCGAAATACAAAAATGTCGACGTGAATCGAACTATGATCGACCCACATTCCAAAATCCGGACTTGTGCTTTCCTTACCACGCCCTTTCCAATTCCCAGCCATCTACCCCATCAGGGCGGCCAGGCGGCCACACCCCATCGACTCATTCGTTCCAAGGGCCACCTTCGGCGTGCAGCAGGCCTTTGTCAGCTCGGACTGGAACTGGGGCCGGCCGATGAAGACGCGGGACGCGCGGGGACGCGGCCCGGAACCAGCGCGAGCGCCCTGGATTCGGTTTGGGACATAGACCAGTCTACCCAGCCAGGACCCGGGGTGTAAAATGCAGGCCCAAAACAGGGAGGAGCAGGCTGAAAGAGGGTCTTGAATGAGTGGTTGGTGGGATGGGCTTTCTGGAGCTTTTCGAAGAACTTGACCACCATTTCGTTTGACTCCTCTCAAGGACATGTCATTACTGAACATCTGTTGTCTTCTGTTTGGTGCTCCAGGCGAAGTTGGCGTCTGCGCGGCGTTTGATGCGTCGATGGGTTTTGGACAACGTTGGTTCGATTCGAGGGGCCTTTTGATGTGTTTCACAGCGCTGTGAAAACAGCGCCTGAAAACAAGAAAGATGGTCATGACACAACCGGTGGTAACATGTTTTGCACCTGTTTGAAGCCTCTTGGCTGGTTTTTGTGGATGAACAGGCGTAAATTGTGCACGGTTGGAAGATTCAGGTATGCCTACATTGACCTCTTTGCAGCCACCCTCATGTATGATCATATATGTACACATGCCAGTCCCGCGGAGTGTTTGCGATGGTACCTTGAGACTGTATTTTACGGCATTTGCATATATATATATATGACATGATATTCAATGCGATAGATGTCTTACTGTGTTACCACTGGTCCGACTGGTCTTGAAGGACAGAGACTCTGGCACTACCCGTGAATAGATCACCATAGACAGGTGACGAACGGGCTCAAATAATCAAAATCCTGCTGTTGCAAAACCTGGTGTAAAGCCACCCTGTGGGACCAACAGGAGAGCGCAGGGACCGGCGTGCCGAAATGTTTGTGTTGATTCTGAACTGATCACTGAAACTGATCTAAAGGGCCCGCTGTTGCTCACCATATAATTGGAGTGCATTGCTTTAAGATTACGTGATTTAAGCAGGTTTTTATTTGGGGATGCTTAGATCTATTTTGTGTCAGTGACAGACTTGACCTCGCTTCACCAAGGTCAAATTATCCTCCTGTTCTTTCTACCTTTGGTCCGCTTGCTGAAGCTTTTGATTCTCAGCAATTGGATGGGTTTTCCACCTAGGCCAAGACCGGGACAACGGAAGGAGTGAAGGTTTAGTCTTGGGTGTTTACCCTCCTTCCTTCGAAGCTGACCAGGACCCCCCTTTTTTTTGGATGAACATGGTCGAAACCGGCGGCTTACGTTTCCATGTCCATGATCGTTTCAGGGAGTGTAGTTCTTTGTCCTCGACCACGAATGGCTGGATGGCTTTCGCAGGGGTTTACTGCGTTGGTCGAAATACCTTTGCCGCCTTTGCGTGTGTGTCTCCCCGACGGGCCACTGGAACGCTTAAGGGGGCACTGGCTGGTTGATTTTGCTGCAATTTGCGGGGGGGGGTGTTGAACTGGGGATAACATTTTGGTTGGAAGCTCCACTCAGGCATTGTGTTTGGAAAGCTTTGTTTGAAGTTTGCAAGCTGAGAGTTTGTTTGTTTACAGTGCATCAACAGTAAGGACGTGCAGACATTTGAAGAAAACAACCAGTTCCATCTAGTTCCTACAGGTTTGACAACGTTCTCACAAAAAACAGCAGCATCTTTGAGGGATCTTGTGCAGAGGGGCATGCCCCTCCCAGCCAAGTGGTCTCTTTTCCCAAGGAGATATTTTGATTCTTTCCGCCTTCTGATCGACGCATGCAAGAACTCCTTTGAGGCGGTTGCTGAATTTTGTGTGGGAAGCGAACCAAAGGTTTTCTCACCTTTGAGGACACTCCATTGGGCGTGCGATTTTACATGGGATGTGTCGTGAGATCCCTTCGAACAGGTCGTGCTCTGTTAACAGGTCGTGGTCATGTGTCATGTGTCTTGCTTGATTCCTGGTGACCTTGGTTCAATTTACCACCGGGCCTGATCTCAGGCAGACTAAGAAAGATCGATTTTAGCATTGGTCGACTGGGTCATGGAAACCACGAAGTGTTGGATGCCAGCACTTAGACTGCCACTCCCCCGCAACAATCATGGAAATTGACAATGGCCCCTTGGAATTGACGGTTTTCCTAGGGCGGCCCCTATTCTAGACATCAAAACAAAGCATGCAGCCGTATCACGCAATCCATCCATCATCCATCATCCGGATCATCTAGGTGATGGTTGAAAACACCCAACCAATACATCATCCATTGGGCCTTGGCAGCCTCTTGGCTTCCCGGCTGAGCCACTGGGAGCACCGACGAATTAAGAGTCTCCGGTCGTTCGGGCACGGTTTCCTGGCGAAAAACGGTGAGCGAAGCACCGCACAGCGAAGAACATCACCGAATTCAGTGGCTTGAACCAAGCTGCTCACTGAGCTGGAGTGAATCATATTCCCTGTAAAGCCGAGGCTTCGTGAGACATCGAAGATCGCCCAGTCACCAGGGAGTCTCATTACAGATAGATCAACTCTCTATAGTCACCACCCCCAGCTTCGCTCGGATCATGGGAATTTTGGGGAGCCACCAAAGAGCATATATATGGGCCATAATTGGTTTCTTCCTTATCTGGGTGGTGGACTTGGGAGGATTTTTCACCGAGTCACTCACTCACATATTTTGTTCGTGAGTTTAAACCACCAACCATGCAGTTACCAATCCCCTAGTAGCGTCCTTGCTCCTAGCAGCGATGCCGGGAGCCCCTAGTAGCGTCCCAAGACCAAAAACCGGGAGATAATGTCCCTGCACCACCTGACTGTGGACCAGTACGTCGACCTCGTGCGTTAACCTCCTTGGCTGTGATCTGGAACCAGCGCTGAGTCTTGTCACCCCTTGAGCCTGGTTGTTGCGAAATGGGCGAGGTGTCTTTTCCCTTGGCGTAAATCCCCCAACATGCCACATCCAGATGTTTTTCCCGGTTCAGAGCCGCCATGCGCACCAGGCGTTGCCGGTGCTCACCTATGTCATGGCGTTGATCACCACCATCTCTGCCACCGGGATCTATTTGGTGGAATCCCGAAGTGCTGAGCTCAGAGAAACATCGGTTGAGAGGGCGAACGTCAAAGCTTTTTGGGTCGAGTCTAGCCATTGTGTGTATTCCTGGAGTCCACGTTGGATGTAAGGGCACATGCGATTAATGCCATTTTCCCTTAACAGCCTGAAAACCCTCAACATCAGCCTTGTTTCCTTGTGCCCTCGTGCGCCGCGTGCAACGATTGAGACCCTCAGGCAATATACCTAGCTTGCAGCATTCGATTTGGCTTTCGCTCGCGACTTGGCATTCGAGACGTCAGGCGACTACGGAGTGGAGCATGTCTAGTTCAGGGCAGGTGACGCAGACATGCGATTGCAAGGCTTCCATTGGGTTGGAAGAAAGTTCTTCAAAGACCAATTGATGTACATCATTGTAAATCAATTATATATGATGTTGGAGGTGTTTAGAGGGATCAATAATGACCCTATTGAAGACCCATTGATGTAAATGAATCCCTGCAGGGAGGTGTTTAGCTTCATGACATGCCTTTGGTACAGAGTCCCAGGTGCATCAGGTCTATCAGCAAATTTTGGTGCCAAGAACACTCCCCTTTGTGCCTGGGTGTCTCGTCACTCATTCTCGGATCTTTAGAAGACCAAAGTCCTTTGGGCTGCCTTGTGACATGTTGTGACCGCAGATGGCCTTCTTCTATTGGGTGGTTGACTCCATAGAGGGGATACTGTACCCCTAAGTGAATCACCTATCGGTATATGCTTTTCCTTCCCTGGTTGATCTGGTTGTGACCTGAACCAAGAAGAAGCCTGGATGGGTCCCAGACCATGCATGGGATCCCCTTGTTTCAACCACACCAATGAGGTGAAAACGCCAGTCCCATGGATGCTTTGGGACCGCTTGGGGGTTACCTTCAGGAATGTTTGGATTGATATCAACCAAAAGCCTCCTAAAGGACGGTGTACTGGACGGTAAACGCATGGTAAACGCTGGTGGTGTCAGGGAGAACTACAGTGTGACCGCTCCTGAACCCAGTTTCAGTTTCAGGGATAGAACATCCCTCCCCCCAATGAAACAAGGGCAGGCCAGGTAGGCGGTCAATCGACAGCGTCGTACATGTCGCCCACTCCTGCATCGTTGCGTGAATCGTGAGTTTCGCAGTGGGCGAGGTCACCATGACGACGGTTGGGTATGGCGACTACTATCCCAAGTCCTTGGCGGGTTGCTCGGTTTTTGGGGCTTGGGGTGGGTTTACACGTCGCACACTGGAACAGACCAAACATGTCCTGCATGCGAACTGTTTGGCTTCCTACGAAGCCAGATTTGGAGGACGAGATTGGCATGGTTTGGAGGTTGACGTCAGCTTGGGTTGTGTAGTTTGACCGAGAAAGCGCCTCCTGAGTGTATCTCCCGGAATTGGACTATGAGCGGTGCTCCTCGTTCTTGGGAACAAGATGATATCGTGCATTGCATTGCATTGCGAGGTTTGTGGTTTGGAGTTGTTTGATAACTCATTGACCAAGCTTGGCTTGTCAGGCGTGCTGCTGAGAAAAGTGGTCGAAGGATGTTCTGTGGGCGGAACGATCCTGGACGTGTTCGATCCTGTGTCAGAAGGGCTTGCCCATGTTGCCTTGATACCAGAAAGAGAAGTCCAGGGATGCTCACATGTTGCTTCATTCGTGAGGAAGCTGACGCTAATATGAATGGCAAACAGGCTGCCACGTGGAGGAATTTGCAGGGCACAGTTGCATAATGGCGAAAAATTGCTTCGTGCTTGGGGCGTGACTGCTGTTCAGGCTGATTAGAGGTTTTTCTTTCGGCTTTGGAATCCTTCATTGCATTAACTTTTAACGAGGAGAGAGGGCATGACTGGCATGTTATCAAAATTGAAATTGACTTGAAGCGGCTTCCTAGTGCCATCAAAGGTAGTAAGTTGGCCACTTGTGTTCGTTGCCAATGCACTGGCGGCTTGGATAGCAGTCGGGGCGAAGAGAAGGCCGTTCTCCCTGAGATCGCGTGGTTCTGTCCTCCGCATGATGTGGGACACTTGATTCAATTTGATGGAAGTGAATGATTGAATGGCAAAGCGGCTAACAGTGAAGCCGAGCCCTGCGCTCGACTTGAACCTTTTAGCGCGACCTTTTGTGTTTCGTCTTGGTTTGGACTGGCTCTAGGCTTCTCCTAGCTTTGCTATCAAATATGTCCCAGTGCCTGTGCCTGCAGACTGTTCCTTGCCTACTCGATGCGCCGTCCAATAGAGCCAAGGGCAGGGTGCTAGCACTACTACCACCACCACTACCACGACTACTATTATTACATATTATTACTACGACTACTACTGCTGCTGCTGCTACTACTACTACTCCTACTCCTACTTACACGTATCTCACCCGCACCTCACTCACACCCCTATTCAATTATGAAAGCCAGCCTTCGTAGAAGGCGCCAGCTGAGTTGTGTTTGGCGAACGAAATGAGTAAGTAGGGGGTCTGGGGGGGGTGGCCCGCAAGCGTATTAGGTAAACTCGAAAATTAGGTGGGGAAGAGGGGTCCACGCAAGTAGGTTTTTTGAGGTTGAGTTTCTGTGATTTTTGAGGGGGTGGTGATGCAAGAAATGCAACTTGCATCATTTGCATCATCTCATTGGTAAGGTGTAGCTGGCGCCTTGCCAGGTATAGATACCCAGGGTAGCTACAATTCAGTTACCAGGTATGGTACTTCAAGTTCCCTTTACGTCAACCGCTCGAAAACCTTTACACGCGCACAGCAATCCACAGCTTTGAAGTCTCATTCGTGCTTTGAACTTATATAGGTGTGGAAGAGGTATAGCAACATAGCATTTATACAGACCCAGGGTAGCTACAATCCTGTTGCCAGGTATGGCACTTCAATTTCCCTACCCTGGGTCCGCGCCTGGGCACAGAATTTGTTGCTAATTTGGGTCCGTATAAATGCTTTGTTGCTATACCTCTGACACACCTATGTCATACCTGGTAACTGAATTGTAGCTACCCTGGGTATCTATACCTGGCAAGGCGCCAGCTGAGTAAGAACGGGGGTTCGGGGGGGTGGCCTGAGAAAGCACACTCGAGCAGCTGACATCTCATGATCCAAGCTCTTTGCAACCTCATGGCCAGACTGCGATGCTTTACCATATCCCTCAGACTTGTCAGTTTTCTTCGAATTCTTTCCACCGACCTTCACGGCCAATCTATTTCCACTTGAACCTGCCATGGATTCCAACCGCTCTTCAGAGTAGGTGGTGTGTAGGGGTGCACGGAAGCAAGGTTTTGGAGGTGTTTTTTTGATTTTAAGAAATGCAATTGTCTTCGGTTGCTTGAAGTGCTTTACTTGGCAACTGAATTGTAGCTACCCTGGGTATACCTGGCAACTGCCTTGTAGCTGCCCTGGGTCCGCGCGCGCGCCTCTGAATCTAGGGCAGCCTGGAGCCAGCAAGGCGCGCGCGCGGACCCAGGGTAGGGAAATTGAAGTGCGATACCTGGCAACAGGATTGTAGCTAACCTGGGTCCGTGTAAATGCTATGTTGCTATACCTCTTACACACCTATATACAAAAGTTCAAAGCACGAATGAGATTTTAAAGCTGTGGATTGCTGTGCGTGTGTAAAGGTTATCGAGCGGCTGTTGGAAAGGGAACTTGAAATACTATACTATACCTGGTCACTGAATTGTAGCTACCCTGGGTATCTACACCTGGCCTGAGAAAGGGGCTGGCCTGAGAAAGCACACTCGAAAGTAGGTGGTGTGTAGGGGTGCACGGAGCGCGCCGTGCGCGATGCTGCATGCTGCCTTTGGCCAACAACGTGCTCGTGGAGAAAAAAAGCTGGCTTTCGTTTTGCAGCTTCTCAGGTGTTGTTGGTCATGCAAGCAGGTGGTACATGCTGGTACAGGATGTTCGTCAATTGGACCTTCGCAGGTTTTGATGCCGGACTAGGCAATGTTAAAAGGGAACGCGGGGCAAAATATTGTGTTATATTGTATGATACGTGTATACATACATATATACTTTTCCAAAGTATTGTGCATGACTTCTCCCCTCACTACTACTCCTACTCCCACTCCTACTCCTACTCCTACTACTACTACTACTACCACTACCCACTACCACTACTACTACTACTACTACTACTACTACTACTACTACTACTACTACTACTACTACTACTACTACTACTACTACTACTACTACTATACTACTACTATACTACTACTATACTACCACTATACTACCACTATACTACCACTATACTACCACT